TGATTAATTGTAACTATTGAGGAAGTGAATGAGTAGTAAAGCTATTGAAAAATAATGGATTCCAAATAAAAGGGAATTTTTAAGAAAATATGAGGGATTTTACAAGTCCTCACAATCACACTACCAAAATGCACACAGAAACACACACCAAAACCCTAGTATGCACAAAAACCCTAACTTATGCCCTCCCTTTAGAAAAATCATAACTTGAGTTATAAATATCAAAAATTCATACAATTTGGCTTGTTAAAAACTAGACTTCAAATACTAAGAATCTTTAGAAGACACCTCAAAGAGATTTAGTTCATAAGTTGGTCCAAATTGAGTCATAAGCTACTACAACATTCCTATGTTTACTTGTGCAGGGCAGAATTTTCAGCCAATTTTACCAATTTTATAGAATTTCTAGGGATTGAATCAAACTCTGAATTTGATATAATAGGAAGCCCTATGAGTCTAGTTTTAAATACAACAAACGGAACTCAATTTCGGCTTTCCTGTACGAAGTTATAGCCAATTTCCCAAAGCTGCGCAGAGCCTCCTGTGAAAATTTCAAGATTTTCTAACAACTTGAGATTATGAAACTTTTCTTAAAAAATATCACTTCCTTGGCTCAAATTCAACCATTAAAGCAACCAAGAATCAAAGGCAAGTGAGTTCACATAAGGGTTATAAAGATAAGTGAATTTTCAGGGTCTCACAATAACCACTAAGTTTTGATTTTGCATCCATATAGTGACATCCAAATGTGATAAATTCTTAGGTTAAAATAAGAAAATTTTTGACTAAATCACGCAACTAGCTTTGGCTAGATTGAAAGGGTGCCTTGGATTTTATCCTTGCTTTTCCTTGCTTCAAATGTGACTCCCAACCCATTTTCTCTTGATTTTCGCAGACTTTGAGTCATTTAAAAAGGGTTTTCTCTACTTTTTCTTTAAAAATTCATTTTAGGTGACTTGGTACATCTTAACTCAATACCAAGTGGCTACTCCTATTTTGTCATTAAAAACCCCTTTTAAACTATTATTTTTGGGTCAAAATCGTCACAGTTTAAGTCCCATTTAGGCCCATTTTTCTTTATTTATTTTCTAAAAATCAAAAACTCATTTTCACCCAAAATAAATCAAAATTCATTTCTCACTCAAAATTTATCAAAAATCCATTTTTTTATAAACATGTTATTTGTCATTTAAAAATGGGGCGCGACAGCTTAGCGACTCCACTGGGGACTTAGAGAATCCAAGCATTTTTTAGTCAATCTTTTTCTTTTTCTAACCTTCTTATATATCACAATTAGAGGTTTTAGGTTGCATTTTTTTCCTTTTTAGGGTTTTCTTGCATAACACATGCAATCGTCTCGATATCCGTGTATGTGCTTTATTTCATTCACTTATGTTTATATATCGTGCTTGCATCTTGGGGAGGGGATAGCCACCCTAGAACCTTTACCCGCATATGATAGTATTTAATCCCTCCCTTCAAAAGGGGCACTTCATACGTGCATATATTTTACTTTATAACCCCTCATTTCTTTTTACTTGTAGTGGTTGTCATACCACTCCATCCGATTAGGATTAGGATCGATCCACTTGGACATGTGGCCGTGGCATGACGTGCACGTAGCAATGTCCGAGGGATCACTCGAACCGTCAACTCTTAGGCAGTGTGATTGATGACCCTTTGCCTTTGGTCTGAAGCTTTAGGAGTCTTAAAACCTTATCGAGTCTAGATGTATTAGTGAGCCCAACCTCATGCATCCATATTAGAAATCGCCTAGGATAGAGTTAACCGTACCTAATTAGGAATACTAGGCATGAAGAGAGGGATTCCCCCCATCTTTCCTTATTTTTCTTTCTTTTCACCTTCTGTATCATCTAATTTGCTGAGCAATCCTAGGGGAAGACCCTCCTAGAACCTCCCAACTTTGTAATATCAGAGTTGAACCTTTTCTCCCAATGAAAATTGAACTCGATTGTTCTCATGAACTCAAGACCTCTGATACACGAAGGTAATCATCAACCTTAAGCAAATAATGATGGATGAAGAGACACCACGATTAGAGAACAAACTAATCGATAAAGTTTGATTAGAATCCTAAGCTATGATGATGAGCAATCCTAGGGGAAGACCCTCCTAAAACCTCCCAACTTTGTAATATCAGAGTTGGACCTTTTCTCCCAATGAAAATTGAACTCGATTGTTCTCATGAACTCAAGACTTCTGATACACGAAGGTAATCAGCAACCTTAAGCAAATAATGATGGATGAAGAGACACCACGATTAGGGAACAAACAAATCGATAAAGTCTGGTTTGAATCTTAAGCTATGAACTCAAGAATTCAAGAGTAAGTTCGATTAAGCACTTGAAGGAAAATTCCTCACGATTTCTGGTTGTAATATTCTGTCCCTTTTACTCATACAAGAGGTGCCTTTTATAGGCTAGAAACTAGGGCAAATCCTATAGATTGTAAGTAGGCAAAGTCAAGGAGTAACCCTCATGGATTGTACACTCCTCTACCCATACCTCATGCTCCTTGGACAGACTTATCCATAGATTTTGTGCTTGGTTTACCAAGATCTTCTAGAGGTATGGATAGTATCTTTGTTGTAGTGGATAGATTTTCTAAAATGGCTCACTTTATCCCTTGTAGGAAAACAAATTATATGCGCCATGTTGCTGATTTATTCTTCAAGGATGTGGTTAGATTGCATGGGGTACCGCGTACTATTGTCAGTGATAGGGATGTGAAATTCTTAAGCTATTTCTGGAAATCACTCTGGGGAAAGTTGGGAACTAAGTTGCTATTTTCTACTTCTAGTCATCCTCAAATGGATGGTCAAACTGACATAACCAATAGAACCCTTGGTGCTTTACTTCGAGCCATTGTTCAAGAAAAGGTCCAACTCTCATATTACAAAGTTGGGAGGTTCTAGGAGGGTCTTCCCCTAGGATTGCTCATCATATGAACTCAAGAATTCAAGAGTAAGTTCGATTAAGAACTTGAAGGAAAATTCCTCACGATTTCTGGTTGTAATATTCTATCCCTTTACTCGTACAAGACGTGCCTTTTTATAGGCTAGAACTAGGGCAAATCCATTTGGAGTAAGGATTGACAACTTACCTACCTAAACTAGGAATAGGAATTCGGCCCACATAAAGAGCTAGCGCTTTATGGCTTCCCGATAAGGCCCAATAATTAATAATATCTACTAAAAAGGATTAAAACTTGGCAACAACATGTCCTTTGTACGATTAACAACTACTAAACTAGGCAGCTTTAAAACAACTACCAACTAAGCTAACAAGTATGAGATCATTCTTTCACTTCAAACGTACAAGTGAACAAGGTAATTTCATGGTCCATCAAATCTTCAAACTTAGCTTGCTCCTTGCTTGTATGGTGAATGATCAAGGCTCGTAAAGCTTCCTTCATCTTCTTGGATCTTGATCTTGTCATCGGACCACCAATGTTGATGAAAGGATCCTTGACCCAAGGTTGAAATTGTTGTGCACAAAACCACCAAATCTTCCATAAATCCTACTAGACACAAGTCATAATTCCATCCAAATTGAAAATTAAAGAGGGAAAGTAGTTCCTTGGTAAGAGTACCTTCAATCCCTAAGGAGAGTAGCAAACCACAGCTTTCTTTTCCTCAAAATCACTCCACACCAACCTCCTTCCTTCCTTGTTGCAACCTTCTTTGGATTGATTTAAGTTTGAGGTTGATTTTCCCACAAAATCTTGCTAGGAATCAAGATGAAACTTGAAGAAATTTTCTCTCTTTTCTTCCCTTAGAAGTTCGGCCACAAGGAGGAAAAAAAGATGAGGGATTTTGGTTCAATTTTTCAAGATAAAAGCAAAGACTAGTCTTGGTCAAACCTTGGTGAAACTTTGAGGGATGAATAACAAATGGCAAGGTAAAGTTCCATTCCTATCTCTTTGTCTCTCTTGTGTTTCTTATAGCCAATCTATCTTGTGTTCCTCTTATACACTTTCAATACTTTAATCACATAATTCCTCTAGCACCACACCCGTTCTCGTCTGCCAAATATAACGCGCACATCTCACTAGTCGGTCAAACTATCATAATACTCTACGAAACTTAATATGCTCTAAAATATAAAAGAGGAATGATAAAAATCTTGGCTTAACCAATAAAATCACCATAAAATTAAGACAAGCAAAGTAAAATAAAAGAAAATATAAATTAAATTTTTTTCAAAATAAGAGAAAATATAAAATAAATTTTTTTGGGTTCTCACAGTTAGATAGCTTTAGTGTTCCTTATTTGTGTCAATATAATGTAAGGAACTGACATATTACAAAAATGTACATGAATTAAGGAGATTTGCAATGTTTTCAAAACCTCGAAGCAAGTCAGTGGAAAGAATTGTCGGAACCTCAGTGATTATCCCTTTCTTTTTTTTTGTTTTGATAACATAGAGTATACTTATGAGAAAAAAGCATTTATTGTAGTAGTATTAATGCTATGATCCGGATCCCCCACTCTAGTCCATGAAGATTTCACATGTTCAAATTATTCGAGTTTCAAGTTGTGTCGTTTATTTGGTGTTGTTAAGCAAGGGTTTTAATGTTAATTACCTTGCTAATTTAGTTGTTTATCTACTTCAGTTAATTTGGCCAGATTATTCTCAAGATGGACCGACTTTTTGTTATTAATTTTAGGAAAATAAGGGGGTGCTTGGTTCATGCTCCGAAATTGGAATTGGATATGGAATGAATTATAAAAAAATCAGTATGGGTATAAGCTCCTGGTATCATTGAAATCACTACTGCTTGGTACAATTTTTAGTGGAATGGGTATCAAAATTATTATTGCATTTTTGCCCTATCTTTTTCTTTTGTTGGGTTCATTTACACGGGCCTTTAACAGCAATCGCCAGTCATCGACTGCCTTGCTTTCAGCCTATCTGCAGCTATTTCGAAGCCAACCCATCCTCCCACCAGAGCTCTCCTTCAACTTCCAGCAACCAAAGATGCCGTCCACCAAGACCTTCATGATAAAGAAGAAGCTGGTAAAGAAGCAGAAACAGAACAATCCCATCCCTTATTGGATCCGCATGCGCACTGACAACACCATTCGCTACAACGCCAAGCGCCGCCAGTGGCACCGCACCAAGCTTGGCTTCTAAATCTTCTACGTCTGCCGTCACCATCATGTTACTTGTATTTGTCTCAAGCTTTTTTACTTCTGCCACCACTATTTTGTTGTAGGTCTCGATCGAATTTCATTTGATTCGAAGTCACAAAATTGAAACTTTAATTTGATTGAAGAAAAAAAAAGAGGGCGAGGAAGGAGTGATACTAGTGAGAGGGAAGGTGAAAGTTTTTGAGATGTTAAGTGATGGCAACAAGAAAATTTTTAGATGCCATGGAGGAGGAGACAAGTGGTGGGAGGTGATGGGGAAGACAAGAGGGAGGATGACGGGATGATGGTGAAGGGGTGAGTGGATAAAAAAAATGTTTTATAAAAATTATCTTGGAATCAAATATAGGAATTAACAAAACCCACTAAATCACTTAGGAATAGAGAGTTGCCAACTTTTTATAATTCATTCCAAAATCTTCAATCCCATACCTATTATCCAAGCACTTAAAATGGACCTCATTCCAAATCTTGAATCCCATGCCCTCAAACCAAGCACCCCCTAAGTGATTCCAAATCACATTAGGATTTCTAGACAGTTCCTAGCTTCATTAGGATTTGAGTTGTAAGAAGCTATAAATAAGCTTCAAACCTACAACAACAAACAGATTTTGATTGCTTAAATAAAATTGAGAGTATTTTCTTGGTTTCTTGCAAGCACCTCTTGAACATCTTAGAAATTTCCTAAGAGAGTTCAACTTGGTTTATCAAACAAGAATCACACTTGTTTGTAGCGCTGTTCTACCAAATTCCTTGGTTTGCTAATTCGTTAAGTCACGGGTTGAGATCGTATCAAGAGTGTTCTCAACTTAGAGGGTTAGATTGGGTCAAAAGAAATTCCACCAAGTAAACCTGGAAAATTTCCATCAAGATCGTGGGAATCGCAAGGATGAACTTCACCAACGTGGAGGAATTCGCATTAGTTGGCATCAGAGCTAGTTGATGGTTTTTCAGGTTATATCCTCTTAATTCCTGCCTTTTCGTGTCATATTCTTGATTCTTAGTTGTGTTTGTGTCTTGTCCTTATTTGATTTTTAATCCAGCAAAAAAAAATATTGTTCACTAATTACTATTCACCGTCACTGTTCACACGCTGTTCATCCGTGGGGAACTGTTCATCAGAGCTAGTTGGTGGTTTTTCAGGTTATATCCTCTTAATTCTAGCCTTTTCGTGTCATATTCTTGATTCTTAGTTGTGTTTATGTCTTGTCTTTATTCGGTTTTTAATCCAGTAAAAAAAAAATACTGTTCACCAATTACTATTCACCATCACTGTTCACGCACTGTTCATCCGAACACAAAAAAAATCTATTTGTGTGTTATCTTTTTTTTGTGTTTTGTGTCTAGTTCAAAAAAAATCTGCTGGTCATAGGGTTTTCTTTGGAGTCTTCGTAGCCGACACCTTGTTTCTTGTTGTTGCATTCAAAAAAAAAAAAAAAAAAAAGAGGAAAGAAAGACAACGGCAACTCATAAAATTCTTGGAAATCTAGAACAAAACCTGAGTTTCTTGAAATTCTTGATTGTTTACAACCACAATCTTGGGATCTTGAAGCTTTAGTCGAGATTCTTGAAAACTTGAAACCCCAAATCTGTCTCGAACCCAAAAATCGTGGGACTTGGGCTGTTTAGGCAGAGAAACTATTTTAAAATTGTGATTCTTGAATTCTGGAAATTACCTTCTTGAATTCTTGAATGAATCTTGAAGTTTGTTGCGGGTTTGGGAACCAAATCTTGAATAAAACTAGTTGCCAAAAAATTCCAGCCGCTAAAACCCTAGTTCTTCAAGTTCTTGGCTGTATAAAAAAAAGGGGAAACATTTGGTCACAAAATTGTTCTTGGAAACCTCCAGAAATTGAGTGTTGGGTGTGTCCAAAACATCCCAAATGGCTGAAACATCATCAGCCACAAAACAGCCACTAAACTCTACTCCAAGTCCAAGTTGGATTAGGTTAGCTTAGTCCTAATTGAACAAGCTGTCCAAGTTATTTTAAATTTCGTTTTGATAGCCTATCAAATCCTTATTGGGATAGGAAAAGGGGGATATTTCCAGATTAATCCAAGAAATTTCTGCTTGTCAATATTTCCTAAAACTGATGCAACAAGAACAAGCTTCAATAACGTCTATAGGCAAGTTTTCTTGAGTCCAATCTTTGTAGTTCCTTTGAGTCAGTTGTTAGCTTATATTTTCCAGAATTCCAACCATAAAAATTCGTCTTTAAAGTCCAGATTAGTGTCCCAAAATTCCAGCCCTTGTGTCGGGTCATTTCCCAAGTACTTGTGCCGAGTAACCAGTAGTCCTTGAGTCGTGCAACTAAGCACTCATTCAGCAAATTCCAGCTTATTTATTCCATTTTCCAGCCTCATTTACTTCACTCCAAATCTGATTGAGCCACATTTGAGTAGATTCTTGTGCGGAGGTAGTTGACTTTTGAGGAAATTCTTCTAATTTCTTCAAGGGAAGCAAACAGGGCCAAGAGAACTATTTGTGAGGACTATTTGAGGGGAAAATTAGAGTGATACACGAGAGTAGAGTGCACATACGTGAGCTTGTGTGTTGTGAGGAAAATTCTTTTCTCTGCTAACTGTGACGCCCCCACTACTCCCAAGGGTATCCGCGGGACGCCTGCCCATCTCTCGCCAGGACTCGGTACAATTTCCCTTCAAACTTAAGAACAACCGATCGATACTAAAAGTCGAAGGTATAAAGGAAAGTCAATTCCTTAATAATCGTTCAAGTCTTATATCATAAGTTACCAAAATATCTCACATTACTAAAATATACAGCTTCCAAAAATTGTCTAAACGAATACATTCAAAAATCTAATCAAAAGGCCATCAAATCGACCTCTCCACAATTCCTTCCATTTCAGCTTCTGTTAAAGAAAACAAATCTAACGGGGTGAGCGAATGCTTGTGAGGCCAAGAAAACATGCAACACGCGTAGTCCAAATAACAATAGCACTTACGCAAGAATGACAGCTATAATATTCAGGTGATTCGCAATTTATACTAAGATACCCTTGAGTAGGATACAGGAGCTCTTATGAGCTAATTTCTATTTGTTTTGTCAAAGTTCAATCCAATACTTCCTTGGGATGACATTCCATCACCCGATTAGGTAATCAAGTCCGTAGAATTTCACGTTTTCAAGTATGGTTCTGAGTCGACATGAGAGGTACCTCCCACCCGAATCGGTGTGGTACATGCTACCGCTCAGTGGTCGATGAGACATCGCTCCAATCGAATTATACTTTATTTATAGTTTTGAATCGACCTGAGAGGTACCTCCCACCCGCATCGGTGTGGTACATGCTATCGCTCCGAGAACCAATTATAGCACTGAGACGGTATGAGAGGTACCTCCCACCCAAATTGGTGTGGTACATGCTATCCGCTCAGAGCTCATGAGTTAAACATATTCATGTACAATTACCAATTATTGTTTATGGTTCTGAGTCGACATGAGAGGTACCTCCCACCCGAATCGGTGTGGTACATATTATCGCTCAGGGAACTGAGTATAGCACTGAGTCAGGATGAGAGGTACCTCCCACCTGAATCGGTGTGGTACATGCTTCCCCTCAGAGCTTACGAGTTAAACATGTCTATGAACAGTTACCGATCATGTGTATCCATGTAACAAGTATTGCATAATTAAAGGAAAGAGAGAACGAGGGTGTCCTCACGTATATACACATAAGTCGAGGAGGCTCACTCCACTCGACATCACAACACAAATAGGGTTGGAAATAACAACACTTCACTTAATTCCTATAACAATTCATTTCACACAATTCGAATATTAATTCACATAGCACATTTTAACTGTAGCATTCCCCAAGGGAGAACGAGCGCGATAAAATATACACTCATCTCAACAAGTTTACGTATCATGTATAACACTTGTACAATTCACATTTCAATTACATAAGTATTTAACATGCACTTGACACTCACCAAGTAAACAAGAAGAAAAGTCACTCGAAGTTCAAGCGTCCACCGTGGGATCCTCTTGAAGTTCCTCTTGTGTGCCTGAGCAATTAATAATGATTTATCACGCAAAAACCCCCCAATTATTACAAAGATTGTACTTAATGCACAATCTAAGAAAATCCCAAAGAAAACGAATCCCAACCACTCGTAAATCGGGGTTCGAAGATGGAATTTTAAAGCACAAAAGCAATTGAGGTTTCATCTTGGAAATCAAGTTTAATACGTTCAAGTAACATCAAAGGAATAAGGAGAATTCAAAAATCTCTATTTCCTTAAGATTCGGAAATTTCAGTTTTGGTACGAGATCTTTGAAAAATCGTATCTCATTCTTTACAAGTCCAAAATTGGAAAACTTGGTACCGTTGGAAACCTCTTCCAAAGTACTAAAAGTTCTTAGAATACACTTCTCTAAGATTTCAAGTGAAAAATATTCAAAAATGAGCTCAAAGTCGCTGTTTTGGTTCATAAGGCAGATTTAAGTTGGTTTTTGGCCAAATTTGAAAATTCGGCAAAATTCACTTGATTGGAACTAGCCTCTGAAATTTGTAACTCTAGTAGTGTTGTAATCCAAGTTTACAACAAAATAAGCGGAATAAGAAATGGAGTTTTGAGTACCAAGATATGGTATCTCAAAGTTACCCAAATTTCCTTGTTAAACAAGGGTTTTCCAAAATCAAGTCTTGAACTTTGGAAATTTATTTGAGCCATGAAACGGTCTCGTAATAACACTAAAATTAGCAGTATAATACCACCATATAAGGGTTGTCCCTCTACCAAATTTCATGGAAAAATACCTTCGGAAAGGTAGTCAACCAAACATCCAAAGTTTCGAAAAAATCCTAAGGCAGAACTGCCTTGAGCTTTTTGTTTTCCATTCCAAACATTTGACCAGGGAAAATCCTTCAAACATGGTTCATTTGTGTAAGAAAAGCCTAAGGAACATTCATGGTACATTTGGTAAGTGTTTTAACTCCAAGAAATTCAATTGGCAAG